ATGCTCTTGCAGCCGTGGAGTTCATGAGGAATTAAAAAAAAGTTGCAAAAGAGAAGACAAGCTACAGCCACCAACCTTTCAGAAATACACATATACAGCACAGAAACAGGAAACATAACAAAACAAAATATACTTTATTAAAATTAAGCATGTTAGCACCTCAGTGTAACCTGGAGAAGTCGAACAGTCCAGCAGTTAACCAGTCCAGCAGGCCAAATGGCTGAACGTCCTGAAGTGCATTCCAACGGTAGAAAAAGTACCACGACTGTTACGACACGCACGTTCGCAAGAAGCTAGGACGCACAACCGGTCTTGTTTGTAAGGAGAGACGTCGTGCTGCCTATTGTCTTGATGGGAGCATAGATCTGCTGGACCAATTACATTGTTAAATCAGATGGTGTAGCAGGTATCTGCTTTCTTCCCTACGAAAAAGAAAAAAACAAAACAAACAAACAAAAAAATCGCTGCTTACTTGACTCGCAGGAAACTCAGTATACCACGGAGCTGAAGTTAAGCGCTACGTATCAGATTGGAGAAAATAAATTAAAATGGAATAATGGGAAATACTTAGTACATGAATAGACCTGTAGTATCCTTACGGTCAACCATCCAACTCAGCACACACGTTAATAGAAGAATGACCCATGCATCACATAGCAGGCTGTGACAACCAATGCCTTTAGCTGAACGGGCTACATGATCAGTCAATAAACCTCCAGCTACCAAATCCCACTGTGCCCTTTTGTTCAGTCATACAGAGTATCGAAATGGACAGTTGTAAAGCTACGTTAGCCAGTGTTACAAAGATTACAATATTTTCAAACTAAAGATACTTTTTACATTTAGAAAATACTTCTATAAAATTTAGTAAACCGACATCCCGATCTACCGAGTGTAACGCACTCTGATTACAGGAGAAAGATCTCACGGACCCAGAAGACACCTGGGCATTCCTCCCTCGAATGTAATTATGGGCACACTGTGGTGAACTGCCTTTTGTTTTCAACATCCATCGCTATCGAAGCTGTACCCCCTAAGTACGTGTGGCCACAGAGCTATGCAGGTGCACCAGATATGCTCCTCTTCCTCCTCCTCCAAAGCGCTGAGGTATCTGTTCCACCGGCCAACCTGGAAGTACATATTCAAGCCAAACGAGTAGCTTCGCTACCCTCACTCCACCCTCTTTCTAGCCAACGATGATTTGGTTTCCTGTTGCTGAAAGTGAGGGGACTAGTGCTGGCTAGAAACAGAAACTACACAATCATTCCACATAGATTTGTTACAATACTCTTAAATCTCGGTTTAGAACACGCAAGCACGTTTCAGTAAGGTCTTGTCTAATGTACAGATTATTAGTCATGCCAACTAGTTTAGGATTAGACAGCAAGGGTTTGCAACCACTGCAGATAAACTCGCTTCGCTTCTGTTTCAACCCGGTTCTCTGAACGAAAGCCAAGGATTTAAATTCCGTCGTGTTACAAAGCCTCCATTTCATTAGAGGGAGTTCTTAAGCCAATAAGATAAACTACAGCCGTCAAATGCCACTGGGTTCTTTGTACCAGGTCGTAATCCTTACTAGTGTTGAGAGCATTGAGACATCTGTAACAAATATGTATGTACTGCAGAGAAAGCAAAAACTACATAGTACAAGAGCACTCTTTAATCTGAGGATTCTTTCACGCTAGAAACAGCAGTCTTTTATGGCATCAGTAATTTACTGAAGAAACACATCACCCTGAGAGGGTTTCTAAAGCTTTCCTCGTGCCTCTGCTAAGCGAGGCCAAACACGACATCGTTGTTTGTTCCTATGAAGGGTACAGTGCCAACCACGCTTTCGGACACGCCTTCTCCAGGGGGTAGTGTTGCTGCTACCTCACTTAACGCAGAGCGAGTTTATTTGCTGAAAACTGATACCCTACGTCCACTTAGTGGTGACACGGGTCCCATCTACACTAAAAGAAGCGCTTTACGCCGTTGCCGGCACAGAGAGGGTGTGGATGGGCCCAGCGTAGACAGGATGCCGGCAGGCATCTGCAGTGCCGGCTCCGGGGTAACGTTGGATCGGTAACGGGGCTCGGCACTGAGCTGACAGTGGCCGCCCCGTCTAGGCAGGGGAATACGGTGGCGCGGGCTCGCCCGGCCAGGGGCAGGAGGGACCGGGCAGCGAGAGCCGGGAGGGCCGTGGGGCCGCAGCCCG